CAGGGCCAAACGCCGGGCCCCCAACAAGAATCTTTTTCTGATCAGAGCATGGAGATCCTCTCGCAAGCGTGAAGTTGCTGGTGAGGAAACAATACAAAGAACATTTGGATCAAACCCCCCTGTGTTTCCTCACCAGCAGCTTCAGATTTGCGAAAGAATCTCCACTTTCTGATTCGGGAGTTGTCCCTCTGCATCGAGGTCGGCTTATCGCAGGCTCAGGAGGTGGGCCCCGCCTGGCCGCGTGCGTTTCCAAACACTCCACCTCACATAAGTCACAATCAAAGCCCCGGTAATTTGGGAGGGGACAATCCCAGCCTTAAGATATATTAGTTGGGTGCGGTTGCCTTGCAGAAAATTTGGTGTTGGGTGGACCATTGAAACTGAAACACCGGGTTTTGATTGTGACTCACACCAAAGTGCAGGAATTTGTGGCTTTCAGGTGCGCGAAATGGATTTCGTCAATCCACAGTATGGCCCCTAAAACAGGGGTCCTTACATTATACACCTGAACATTGCCTTGTAAATGGTGGTTTCCCTTTATTTTTGAGGAAAATCAGGTCTGGGGTTTCTCGGAGAGCCTTTTCTGGAGATTGGGCCCCTGGCATTGCATCTCCCTGAAGCCTCGGTGGATCTCTGTGCAACCTTGTTTTCGGTGCCCAAGAACAAACTCTTCAAAATGAGTTGCGCTAGTCAGAATCAACCCAAAGAATCAGTGCCCCAAGCCGGGCTTAGCGCCACAACAAGAACAACTTGAAGATGATGGCTGTCCCTCTGGCATGGTTGGTCTGCAGCAAAAGGGGAACCAAATCTGTTGCCAAGCTAGGACTGGATCCTGGAGACGGTGGTCAAGGACGAGGACTTCATGAAGGAGTTGCGTTTGAAGCAGATCAAGAGCTCACAGAAGGCCAGATCTTGCATTCCTTCATGCAAATTTATTGGAACTGGTAATTGGCATTTTTGTTGTTTCTGCATTGAAAATCGATTCTTTCCAGGACAAGGCGCTCATGTTCTCCTTCAGGCGGGACAACTCCACCCACGCGACCTTGGATGACCAGGTGCGCAATGTCGATGTCTTTTGTGCGGTGTTCACACACTTGTTCGATCAGGTCATCGCAAATTACGTTGCACTGACAAAGTGGTACGAACTTTTGGGGAGGAGCACACCAACTGGTAAGGAGATGGAGGCAAGTTTTCTACATATTATCTAATGTCGCTGTCCTGTTTCACGAGGCGGCGCTCCTTGAAGTCAATGAGAGCCACATGCTTCTGTTCTCAACCAGCCGCAAGAACAAGAAGGCCTAATGGTAAACATGCCCCTTTGCCAGAACCGATCCATAACTGTGGCCAGGCTGAAGCTTATGAGGCCTGCCTGGATTGGAGAAGCATTGTTCAGGACTTCCTGATCACGGAAAGGCGATCCACTGGAGCCAGGTGCGTCACTTGTACACTCATGCACTTGTTACTCCCAGCCCGGTCCCAGGCGGGGTCCGCACCAAGAGAAGGTCAACGATCTGAAGGTGATCATCCGCCGCGTTTCTGGACCTCGGCCACTGTCGAAGGCCCCAGCCTTGATACAGTGTGGAATGAGTCCAAAATCAGATTGGGGTTGGTCTCAGGCCAGCTCATCCTTAAATTTGTCGGCACGCCCGGATCCGGATCCGGAGCCTGGGCAACAAGAAGATTCGCTGAAACAGGCCTGACATTCTTTACATGTCTGTTTTTGGAGCTTAAAAATTTAACCAATCGGACCTTGAAAGGAAACGCCGGAAAGCTCTAGCTCATCAAGCTCGAGCTCGAGCTCAGACAGCGACAGCGACAGTTCAGTTGCTGACCAGCCCGAGCAGGAGCAGCCAGCGCTGGTCGACCAGGAGCAGCCGGTGCATGATCAGCCAGTGCATGCTGAGCAGCAGGAGCAGCCAGCACATGCTGACCAGCCGCACCAGGAGCAGCCACTAAACCAGGAGCAGCCAGCGCACCAGGAGCAGCCAGCCGTGAGCAGCCAGTGCACGAGCAGGAGCAGCCAGTGCATGCTGACCAGCCGCACCAGGACCAGCAGTGGACAGGAGCAGCCAGTGCACCAGGAGCAGCCAGTGCATGCTGACCAGCTGCACGAGGAGCAGCCAGTGGACCAGGAGCAGCCAGTGCACCAGTTGCAGCCAGTGCATGCTGACCAGGAGCAGCCTGAGCAGGAGCAGCCAGTGCACTCGCTTGCGGACCAGCCCATTTTCGATCCTGTCAACGTCGATAGTAGCCGCCAGCTCTGGAGACACTGCCAGTGAAAGTGACAGTGATCAGGATGTGCCTGCACGGGTGCCTGATCAGGAACAGGCTAGGTGCTGCTTTGCGTGTCGAACTCATCGTTGTGCTGGGCATTTCAATACACAAATGACTGCGCCCTTTGATGCCATATATGGCAGTTTGATCGCTTGCAGCATGTCGTCTTGCGTGCTTGTGTTGGCGTCGTGGCCTCACCCTGCTGCAAAACCCCAGCAACACTTGATTGATTTCGGCTTTCCTTTCGGTGTCCACCAAAAAGCCGACCTAAAGACATGATACCAACAAATCAAAAGGACGCACCCCCCTTTTCATTGGTTTCCCTATAGTTACATCTGCCGTTTTCATGTTTGGTTAGCCCCAAGCAGCAATTTAAAAGTGGGTGCATGAATCCCTGAGTTTGTCCAAGAAAATGATATGTTCAACCCCTTCAGCTTCATTTTTCATTTCACCAAAAAGAAGTCACAATTCAAACAAGCCTTGGCAGGGTGCCGAGCGCCCGGACCAGATGGAAACGCTGCCCTGGTCTCCTGAGCAAGTGGCAGCTGCTCATGAGGCGGCAGATCCGGTTGAACCATCTGATGAAGAAATCCTGAAGAATGGCAAAAAGGTTATCAAGGGCACCTTCAAGGACAGCTGGTTTTCCTTCAACTCATGATCAGTCCTCTTGAGCAAGTTGTCTAGACCTTGTTGATTCCTGGCATCTAAGCTTTTAATTTGATCATGATGACTGGCGTGTACACTCCCTGTTCAACCCATGAACCTCCAGCTGCAGGACCACAAGCCACTCCTTGAGAACCAGCCAGCACTGCCTGCGCAAGTGGCTGATTCCATGCAGGATATTTTGGCCAGCCTCCAGGTGGCGCCAGGGGATTCAAAAGAAAGTGTGTTGGAGGCTGGGCAACCCTTTCATGGCAGTACCGTTTGTCTGGTCGGAGCTTGCGCTTGCCAGGCCCAAGCACGAGTGAGGATGACAGTCAAGCAAATGCTAGGCGAGAAGGTGGAGGAGAGTTTGGAAAAAAAAGGCAAGACTGCAGCAAAATCCGCTGCCAAGAGCAAAGCAGCGAAAACCGCTGCTGCCAACACCGCGGCAAAGGGCCTTGAGGTGCCTCCTGCAAAGCTGCAGCGCCGCCTTGAGGAGTCAGAGTCTGATGAGAGCCAGACCCTTCAGCCAGACCCTTCCCAGCCCTCCGAGCCCAAAGCCTCCAGACCTGCCCCAACAGGCTCAGAGCAGCCGCACAAAAAAAGCAAGGTGGAGCACGATGAAATCTTTCTTGCCCCTGTGGCATTCACTTTGACCCCTCGGCGAGTGCAGAACTTAAATCTGGCTGGGGCTTTGTTCCTTTGTTACGGATCTGGGGCTTTGCGTGTAGGTGCTGGACTATATCAACAGCCTGAAGCTTCCGGACATGAAGAGTCCAGAATTTGATTGGGCGAAAGACCATAGACGCCGAAGCTTTTGCTTGGGCCCGCCTTCCCACCTCAGCAAGGACATCAAGGCAATTCAGATCGGCATTCATCCGAAGCTTTGCTGTAAAGGATTGCATAATCTGACCTTTCGCACTGGGTCCCCATATAAGGAGTCAGACCACGTACTACATCAAGAAGGTTCACGAATCCAAGTGCGCCGAAGCCAGGCAATATGCTACTGGGTCCACGAGTCCAAGTGTGCCGAATTCGAAGCCAGGCAACGTGGTATTGGCAGCGACCTCAAGGGCGGAGCATCCATCAGTATGCGAAAATATGGAATCTCCGCGGGGCCACTCAGCTGCATTTGGTGTAATGCAGTGCACGCACGGCTGATAACATGTATTTCCTGTGTGGGTCTCCTTGCCAGGTGGAAGCTCGCTTGTGAGCTTGCCGGGTGGGCTCTGAAATGAGCTCGTGAGGATCAGGAAAGCTCGTTGATGCACTCGATCATCATGAGGCCCCGTTGCAACTAAGAAAAAGTGTCCAATGGGCTCCAGTTTGTGCACTGAAATGATATTGCCTTTGCATCAAAAGCTTGCCAAAAGCATCCGATGGGTTCACTCATCAGTCGCTAGCTAGGCACTGATGAGCACTTGCGTACTTATTATGTGCATTGCACATGTGACTGCCGCAGGGGAGAAAGTGTGTGTGTGTGTGTGGTTTTTCGTCTTAGTGGGCCGTTGCCTCACGCCAGAACATGCAACATTCACCCTGCGTGAGGATGAGTCTGTCACTGTTTGCAGCATCTGGCTTCCAAATTTAAAGGGCGGGGCCTGTTGCAGGCCAAGTGTAGCATAATGCCTGCGCCCACTGCCCGGCTGCACCCGCTGGCCTTGACTCAGAGGCAGCGCTTGCTCTATGGATCCGCTACCAATGTTGTAGAAACTGGAGGCAGCATCAACTTCTTCTCCGATTGGGGGCGCCTCTGGTGCTGCCAGCAGCCAAGCATTTCCTGTGTTGAACCCATGATCCACATGTCAGGGATTGGTGCGTTGACTCTTGCCTGTGTGTGCATCTGGGTACGTGAGTGGAGCAATGTGTATGTGTTTTGCAAGCTGAAACATTGAAATTCAAATGTGTCTGTAAGCCCTGCCCACAGTAAGGTTGCATTTGTGCGACTTTATCAGCCAGAACTGCGATGAGACTTCGGGTGTCTCCGCATCGAGGGTGTAGATCCCAGTTTGCAAACAAGGCTCAAAAGAAAGCTGCTTTTAGCCTGAGTCATTTCAGCAAGTCGAAGCCACTAAGGGACCGGCCAAAGCCCGATGAATGACCTTGATGCGCTGAGGATTTGCGGCTGTTCGAAGTCTTCTCAGGCAAGGCCATGATCTACACGGAAGCCCGTGACAGCCCCAGCAAACAATTGTTAATAAAATGCGTTCTCAAAGCGATTGCCTCGAAGGTCGGAAGCGCTGGCCCTCGCCAATCACTTAGAATTTCTTACCAATTGCGAGCGGACTATTCATGCAACCATTGCGAAAACAAGCATGCATCTCCAAGGGATTACTATGACTTCCAATCCCGGAAGGGCCAGGTGAACGACCTGGGCAGCTTGTCGATGCCTTACTAACTCACACTTGCACGCAGTGTCAAGTTGCCGGAACTTGATTGATCACGAGTTGAACGCATTCCCACAAATCAACTTGATTATATTAGACACTCGCTTTTCTTTGAGTGTAGCATATATGACCTGATTCAGCCTGATTGCGAAATGAATGACGTGTGACTGCGTGAGACCCCACACACGCCCCTGCGTTGCTTCTCCAGGCCTGGGCTGATCTACGCTCTGCGCCAGGCCTTGCGCTTGACCGCAGGGTCGTTGATGTTCCTGGGAGTTCCATGTTCCCTCCTTGTATTTGTATCCCTTGGAACATCAAAGAGGAATCGCGACATTTTGGGAGACACCAGCCTACCCTGCGTGCAGAAGTCAAATTTGCTCCTGTCGCGAGCAGCGATGCTTTGTGTGCTTTGCACATCGCGAGATGTGTGGTGGGCTGTAGAGCAACCGAGCTCGTCGGTCTTACGGCACGTGCCCTACTTCAAGTACTTGATGGACCTCGACGAGGGCATCATTCGGATGCACCTTACGCGATGGCCAGCAGCTTAGATGTGCTTTAAGTTCGCAACATTTCGCAACGTTGCCACGGCTGAAGACCTCTTCCAAGCACAGCAAATTTAAAGAATGGCCAGAAGCCAGCGCTGACATGCGCTGACTGCACTGAGTTGGATGGCCATGTACAACAGCTTCACGTACAAACCAACGCAGGTGTTTGGTTCTTGGCTGGGCGCTTGGTCTGATTACTTGCGCCAGTTGGATGAACCTTGCACATAGACTCGAATGAGGTTGCGCCACATATACAATATGCTTTAAGCAGCAGTGCAAAGCTGTCGTTCTTTTCCTGTTTTGTTACAGTTAGTGCTGAGTGGAGCCTGGCCCACGCGCACCCTCAGGCCAGGAATCCCGGACCTCCACAACCGGCTCACGCCGGAGCGGCGGGCCGAGATCAAGGAGAGCCAGAAAAAGAACAACGTGTGTATGGTCAAGAAAACCTTGAAGACTGGCTCCTCCAACCGCTTTTGGGTGCGCCCTGGCAAAAACAGTTGAGGGTTTGCTCGAGTGCCGTGCTGCACGTTGACCAACCAATTTGGACTCAGGAGTGGAGGAAAGGATCTCAAACGGTCCCAAGCCTACACAAAAGCCTTTGCGGCCCGTGTGATTCAAACGCAGCAGGAGATCCAGGCCAGCCTCTTTCCAATATGGTGGTCAAACGTTTCTTTCCAAACATGCCCAGGAAAATGACCAACGAGGGAGCCAAGCACGCCTCTCGCTCGATCTGCTTCCTCAGCAGGACTGAGTGCGCAGCGTCGCTTTGCAACCCATGGGTGTCCTGGCCAGGCCCCGCCATGCAGCTGGCTGCATGCCGATCTGAAAGAGGCTGAAGAATTTCTGGAACAGCGGATCCGGGACAAAACGTTCCGGCCAATGTTCCCTTTTCACCGTGAGTTCACTTAGCTCGCCTCGCATGCGCATGCACTTCTGCATTGGCTGTTCCCAGCTCCTGTGCTACAAGTTTAACGTGAAATTTTAGTGGGTTGAATGGACATCCCCTCCAAACACTAGCATGCTAATCCCTAAAAGGATCACTGGGAACCACCAAGGCACGGGGTATCTGGCATAGCTTGCATTGTGATGCTAGGTGTGGGGAAAACACACAATTTGATTGAACGTGATATTTGGGCAATTGACCGTGAAATGTGGGCGATTGACCGTGATATTTAGGCCATTGACCGTGATCTGTCCCCCCCCCCAAAAAAGACTTGAGACATTTGGGCCACTTGCCGTGATTTTGGAACCTTTGACCGTGTTGTGTGGCCATGGAACGTGATCTGTCCCGTTAACTTTACATATTCAGCTGATTCGGACCGGGGGCGCCCTTGGCACTGGGACATGGCGAGCGTGGAAGAATGGTCAGGGCCTTACTTGATCCTCTGGAGGCTTCATTGTGACACAGCGTGTCCCCGATGACCATGTGGCTTGTAATCACTTTTGAATCGAAGGTCCATGGTTGCTGCCAAAACTCGTGAAACACACACGATCGAGCAACTAGACTGTCCTGCGAGCACACATTTCAATATTTTCCGAGAATGCTTTGCCTTCTTTCAGCTCATGATGACACTTGCATTGCTTCCATTTTGCAATGAGCCATGCGCCAGGCCTGACAGGCAACATGATGTGGCTGAGAGCCAGTGTCCTAGAGGGCATCCAGACCATCTCTTGCACAAAGGCATAATCGCACAGGTCAGATCACGGTGATGGATGAGCTCGAGCACAAGTCAGCAGGGGAGGCCTCGCCAAATGTCTGCATGCTTTGAGACACACACACACACACACGCACACTTGCGTGCGTCGTGCGTGGACAGGCCATGGATGCGGTCACGCAGCAGCCGCCAGTGCCGGGCACCAAACGCCCACATGATGGCAGCGCACCCACCGACAGAGACCACCAGCACAAAAAGCAAAAGAAGGATAATAAACACAAGAAGGAGAAGAAGAAGCACAAGAAAGACAAGAAGCACTGCGCGGCGCAGAAGACAGCTGGGACTGGCCAGCCCGCCCTGAGCCTTCACAGCAGCCCAGCAGCAACCCCGCCCCGCAGCACCTCTGCGCCGAGCAACGCAGGCACGCCAGGCAGCCCTCCGCCCCCCTCCACAGCCGCAGCTGCGCACGCTCACGCCCCGGTGCCACTGGGAAGCAACGCAGCCGCATCGCCGCCGCCGGCAAGCAACACAGTCGCAGCCGCATCAGCTAGCGAAGCTGCCACGCCCAAGACCGCAGCCGCGCTGCCAAACAATGCAGCTGCGCCACCAAGCAATGCAGCTGCGCCACCAAGCAATGCAGCTGCGCCGCCGATCAGCACTGCAGCGTTGAGCACCAACGCACTGCCAAGCAGCACCGTGCCAGGCAGTGCTGTGCAGCCATGTGATGCCACTGCGCCACCAAGCAATGTCACACCTGCACCACAGCCGCCAATGGTAAGCAACCCACCGGTGCCTGCGCTGGCATGGACAAGCAGCAAACCGCCCGTGCCTGCCCTGACATGGTGGCCAAACACCAATGCTGCGCCACCTGCCGCAGCACCGCACAGTGCAGGCAATGCTGCAGCACCGCCAGAAGCCACCCCGCCACCAACTGCGCGTGCGCTGCCAGCAGCCACCACCCCGCCAGCAGCCACCCCGCCAGCAGCTTCGCCACCATCATCCACCCCTCCAGCAGCTGCTCCACCAGCAGCCACCCCTCCATCACCTGCTCCACCTCCATCCACCCTGCCAGCAGCTGCGCCTCCAGCAGCCCCGCCAGCTGCGCCGCCAGCTGCGCCGCCCGCGCCACCAGCCCAACAGCTGCCCCCAGCCGGAACCGCACAGACAGCACCCAGCCAGGCACCGGCCAGTGCAGTTGATGCAGTAGGGGCAGCACTCAACCGTGCCACCACATCAGACCTAAATGACAAAGCTCCCTTGCTCGCCCCTGGCAAGGTGGCGGAAGAAGGCGATGACTTCAGCGTGCTAACTGACAAGGTAAAGGCTGTGAGGCGAAAGCACTACATGCGCTTCCTCCGCAGCTTAAAGAGCCGAACCCTCAGCCTGCGCATCTAGCCACATGTCAAATCGCTGTGTGAGCCGCACCTTATCATGTGGTTGAGGCAAGTCAACTCCGTCGGAGATCAATGCAGCTGCACTGCGTGCCCGGGCCCGCCGTAGCCCCAGTCCTGCTTGCTCATAAACATGTATATCTGTGGGAGTGAGCCTGCAGGCAATGACAGCGAAGCTTTGTCCGATCTCTTCGAAGACTTCTTCGCGAGCCAGGGTGACTGGAAGAAAAGCCGCACCTACAGCCGGCTGGTCCACAGGACAAGATCCAGAAGGAGCTTGAAGAAATGCTGGCGCACCAAGAAGGAGTTGCTGGCCCGGCAACTCAACCAGCAATTAATCGTTTTGTGTACAATTGTTATATCTTGTGGCTGACTGCCTCCGCATAAGAACAATCGGGCTGCACGAATTGACCCCCAATCTGCTGGGTCTCTGCACATGCAACTTTCGCTTTTAGTTTTGGGGTGGGGGAGTTGCGTGCACCCTTCCAATCCATCACAGGTATGAGGATGAAGAGCTGGTGCAAGTGCTGTGCGAAGAAAAGGCGAAAGCTGGCCTGGCTCGGGCTCATCCAGACTTCCCTGGACGGCAGGCGCGTGGGTGTGGGGACTCGCGTGCCGGACTCATGCGCTCCCATGCACATGTGCAAAAACTCGTTTTGAAGCTGACTGTGTTATGGTTTCCCCCTACACTCTATGCGTGTTGATCTGTGTTTTTTGCACCCCGTTTTCCAAGAACAATTGCATCATTGATTGATAAAAAGTCAACATCATACCCTCTAAAAGAAGTGTTGGGTGTAAGGGAGTGCTCTTTCCCACCTCGTGGTTTAGATTCGGTCACTCCCTGCCTCGGTCTCGCTGCCCTCTGCTGCCTCAGGCGATGCAGCAGTACAAGGTCTTTGAGGAGGAGGCAGAGCTGGAAGAGTCAGAGGATGAGGAAGAGAAGGGGTTCCAGCTGGAGGCGTCCGAAAAGGAGAGCGAGAGCAGTGGGGAGGAACCTGATCATGATGATGAGGTGTGCCTTGGATGCATCACTATGAAAATGGCTTCCTAATTTGATCCAGTGCATATTGGGCGGAGGGGAAGGGTGCACAATGATACAGAACAAACATCTCTAAGCAAATCTACTGATTTCACAGTGGACACATGTTGAACAATAAGAAATTGCGACTTCTTGCTATTGGTGACATCAGCATTAAAGTGAAACAGTTTTACAATTAATTGTGTCTCGCATCTTGCACACTTGAAAAAAAGGAATTTAGAAGTCGCGTTGCGAGTGTGTGTGTGTGTGGGTGTGTGCGTGCGACCCATTTTTGAGATGTATTTTTGGGAAACTTGGTTTCCAAGTATACATCCTTGCTTAGTAGAGGATCAAAAAAGGGGTTGGGAGTAAGGGGTTTATGTGCCAACTCATGAAACCCCTCGGCTGCAATTTTTTGCTTCTTGTCCACAAGTATGCTCTCAAAGACTGGTCCTGCGCATGCTGTTGTGTGGAGCTGAGGCCAGCCACGCCCAAGAACACAAAGGCCAGCAGCAGCAAGGCCAAGCCCAAGAAGAGGAAGCCCAAGGCATCTGCCAAAGGGGCTCCCAAGCCCAAGGCGGCTGCCAAAGACGCAACGGAGGTGAAGAAGAAGAAGGCGCGCCAAAAAAAAACACACTGCACCGTCCCGCCAGCAACCGCACCCGGGCAGGTTCTCAAGGAGATCGCAAACGCTAGCGCAGAAGCGGGCCAGTGGGAGAACAAGCTCAAAGAGAGCAATGTGCCCAACCCTGAGTCTAGCAAATCTAGATCTCTAGACCTGCGATGTGTGTCTATGCCTCTGTCACTTGTTGTGACCCAGGGGGCAGAGCTTGACGTCCTGCCTCTTGGGGGACATTACGGTCACGCTTGATCGCATGAAAGCGATGCGGGATGAGCTGGAGAAGCTTCAGGGGGAGAAGGCGGGAGTTGGTTTACTGGCTTCTGTCATTCAACTTTTGCCCCTGAGGCGGAGGCCATGCTGCTCAGTGTCTCCGAGCTCCTCGAGACATACAAGGCCGCCGTGAAGGCTTGCAAGAAGCACATTGTCCCTTGGCTAGACTTTTGCAAAGGGCTTTCACGGAGGATCCCCAAACCTATATGTGTTGGTGTGTCATGGCTTTGGTGGAAAATCCTTACAGAACCCCTCGACAACAGCCGCACCTGTACTGTCAACCACAGCTTGGTCAGTCCACAGAAACTCAGATCTGTCTGAGAATGAGTTTGACAAAGGCCTCATCAGTTGTTGAAAGCATGACCAATTGTCCACCACATTTACACAACAAGCATATACCCAAAATAAGATTCAACGTGTTTTGTGTTCCAGTGACATCAGGGTGCTGAAGACATTTTGGTGTTGTTTTTGTGGGAAGCCTATGAACCAACTTTCTAGCCGGTGTGGGGCAAGACTTGATCCCCTTGTTTTACCCCAAGGCACCATTCTCATGCATTCAACTAAGGCATTGATATTTTGACAGATCCAACTAGCTAGTCACACATGCGTGCCCAGCGCATAATATTTCATAGCGAACTGCTTTCAGCAAGTAACATATTTCGAGGGCTCAAAAACCCACAGATCAGTGCGTGCACATGCCGCCCAGCCAAGGCCGTGCCTAAGAAGCAGGTGGGCGCCTAGCCTGAGACCTGCGCGGGCATGCCAGTGAAAGCACTGGCACGGCATGGGGAATGGAAGTGCTCACTGTGACATAATTATTTTGAGCAA